TAGATGAAATTACACAAGCTCGAAAAATGGAAAGGCTGGCGGAATTGATGAAATCCGCCCTGAAATTCTCAAGGCATTAGGCGAATAAGGTATGAGCTAGCTTACACGTGTCTGCCAAACTGTGATGACTAAGGAAAAGACACCAACGGGCTGGAGAACAAGAGTTACTATACCTCTTTTCAAGAAGGCGTACCCTAAGAAATGCTCCAATTATAGGGGCATTACGCTACTGAGTCTCCCAACGCAAAGGTGCTAGAAAGGAGGTACCGCGGTATAACTGACTCCAAGATACAAGAAGAGCAGTGTGGCTTCCGGCCCGGACGAAGCACCTCTGATCATATATTTGCCCTGCTTAAGACTGTTGAGAAATCTTGGGAGTACGCCCGTCCAGTGAACATGTTTTGTTGAGCTAGAAAAAGCCTATGGCCGGATCAAGCGCAACAATCTGTGGTCATGCCTTCAAGCATACGGGATAGATCGCCAGCTGCTAAGAAACATGGCAATCCAATCACTGTATTCTGATTGTAGGTATTGCGTCAGAGTACACAGGTCTCCGCCAAGGCTGCACCTTATCCCCTATCCTGTTTGTGTTCCACATGGATAGAACAGTCAGAAACAGCCAAGGCGATGAGCGTATCGGTGAAGGAGATGTGAAGAGCAGAAGACTGCTGTTTGCAGACGACCCTGTATTATTTACATCTTCTGAAACGGTTCTACAGTTCTCCTAGAAAGGTTTGCAACGGAGTGCGATGTGACCGCATGCACGTAAAGGCATCTAAAACGAAAAGCCTAGTGCTTCTCGTTTTCCTGCCCGTTGCTTCCTTCAGATTACAGGAGAGGCAGTGGAGCAGGTGGAGATTTTCAGGTACCTCGGAGTGGTATTTACTAGTGATGGAATATTTGAGGAGATCGACCAGCGAATTGGAGTAGGCTGTGGCGTTCTGCGTGAAATAACCCGAACCACTGTGGCGAAAGCAGAGCTCAGTCTGAAAACTAAGCTCTCCGTTTTCAAGTCGATCTTCATTTCCATGCTTACCTACAGTCATGAATCGTGGACCATCACTGGAAAACTTCGAACCCGGGTACACCTGCTGAAATGGGCTTTCTTAGACGAGTCGCTGGCCTTACGCGTCTCGACATGGTTCGGAATACAGACATCTAGGAGAGTCTTGATGTACAACCTCTGCTTCGCCGGATTGAGAAGTCACAGCTGCGATGGCTTGGGCATGTGTTGCGAATGCCTCCAGAGAGGAAGGCTAAGCAACTGTTTCTTGCGAAACCGACTGGCAGAATGCCAAGATTAACCTGGTGCAAATATATAGGAGTCTGTTCCAGACTCCAGTTGTCTTCTGCCGAAGCTTAGACTCTGGCATAGGATCGGGAACGTTGGAATCTTTGTCTGACGCGTCTGCCTCCGCGACCCGAAAGAGGTAGCGGTCATGGAAGATGAAAATGACGATCATTAATTACTGGTACGGAAGATCATTTGGATGGTCTGTCATGATCATAAAAATCAGTACCATGTCCAGAGAATTCTTCTAATTCATAATAAATTGCTATAGCATGATGAAGAAGCAGTTCCTCTCCGAACTCTGCTTCTACCTTGTTCATCCATTTTGAATGTTGGCTTCCCGGTCGACGCCTATCGCGTTTCAGTCACTGCACGGGAAGCTCATCAGGTGGGTTAAAGGGCCTATGCTGAACTAACTTGTGAAGAATCAATGACTTTTTCTAATTACCAATTCTGTTGAGAATATCTATGTCCCGAAATGAAGAGAATCATTCGTTACATGATCCTGTCTTTTACTCTTAATTCTACGTCAAAGCAGGCACTACCGTATGTTGTTTAACCGTTACTCTGGGAATTTTGTCAGATTGTAGTGCGGCAGTTTCTGCACTGATTCAGGTTCACTTTCTTCTGTGAGTACTAAGTATGACGACTGAAGACGGCGTGTAATGTATTGGCTAATTTTCCACTTGCTATATCAAGGTGTGCAACTGACTAGAAGTAGCATCAAAACTGTGACCATGGCATCAGAGCAGTTTGAAAAATATGTTATCAACTATAACAATTTACCCATGCTTCACTTTTGATAGGTTATCAGTCATCCATTTTGATCAAATCTGCTATCCGCTACCTAATTTGTCTTCGTTAATAAGTGGACCATGAACGCAAATCGACGCTACTTCAGCACTCTCTTTTCTCTGTATAAGTATGCCAACGGATCGTGGAATATTTGCAGGTCTCCGACGAGGCCGTTGTTCGGCCCTGCCTAGTGATGCGGTTTTGCATCCAGGCCCCGCAGGTGCTCAAATACAATGGAGCCGTGGCCTGCTTAAATGGGCCCCTAGGCCGCTAGAAGCAAGAGGCCGGTGCTTACGCTGCTTCAATCCGGTATCAAAAACTATAAAAAGGATAACATATCTTAGCGGTGGTTCAAAAACTAGCAGTATGCAAGTAAACTCATAAAATCGGGTTTAATTTTTCTGTATTCAACATTCTCTATTTTCCACTGTTTGAAGTGAAGTAATTTGACCACCGGTTCATCCCAGGGTGATTTAGTATGACACTGGTGGTCCAGCGAAATCCAGTTTGTAATTCCTGGCGTCCCCTGTCGTCTTTCACGTGAGCCACGTGGTCAGACCATCTTTTGAAGTCACTGATAGCAGAAATTATGTCTGTTAATCCAGTCAGGTGCCGAATTTGTGGGCTCGGAACGTGATTCCGGAGGGACACCTTACATATTTTTGGCTCCGTCGTTATATTCGTGGCCATCAATTTGCTAGCCTCAGCTATAGTAGCAGAACAGCATTCAGCGCCGTAGATAATGGAGAGTATGACGGTTGAATCGAACAGTTCCTTCTACGCTTGCATGGATAGCTCACTATCAGACAACGATGTTTAAATGTAATTAAAGCTGGCTTACGCCGATTTTTTTCTTCGGCTGATTTCCTCGTCCAAAGAGTTCATGCGGACCCACTGTATGCATAACTGGTGACTTCATACAGTTCTTCCTTGTCGGCGTAGACAGAACCCTCAGGGCAACACTCACCACGCATTTCATCTGGCAGAGGTTAAGTTCCAGAGCGATCGTAGATGATACTTCCTACCAATGTTGGATTTTTCCTTGTTGTTCCATCGTGTCTTGTACAAAGACGATGCAGTCGATAAATTTGAGAAGTTCCAAGGTCATCGCTATGGGAGAGGCAACTCTCAGGTCCTGTTTGTTTTAGTTCCTGTGGTTTCTTTGGCACTGGAACCATGGACGCGAGACGCCAATTGTCAGGAATCGGCAACTGGCGCAAGCAACAATTAAATGCTTCTTTAAAAACGTCGCACAACTTGATCAAGCACAATCTGAAAACCAGTGGACTGACCTCGTCACGACATCACGACTCGTTCGAACGATAGCGATCCAGACAGGAACGAACATCGGTTTCCGTTAATTGCAATGACCGATGACCACTAGCCGCGTCCGGAACACAAAATTCACTACAGACCGACTGATGGCTTCTGAAGCGCAGAAATACGAGCGATTTAGGAGGAAATTAGAAGAGCGTAAAGCTTGTAGGAGACCTCGAAGGTCTTAGAATCGGTAACGTCAACAGTGTGTTGTTCATAAAAGTTCCAATCATTAAATGTTACACGTCACAGTTTAAGAACAGTCTGTTAATTCAATCGGTGCCTGCAAAAAAGAATTATTCCGAAGCTGGCATTCTGAACAACTACAGCACTGACACTGCCAGTGCACACCCCGACGAAAGACATTATAGCTGCAGTTCGAAACGCTCGCCTCTGTACAATCTTTCAACCTAGTCATACATAAAACCATTGAAATAAAAAAACTACTTTTCATAAGAGTTGACAGTTCTGTTAGCCATTTATCAATAAAATTTGTCCATTTTGAAATGTTTAACCTACACATAGCTAATTCACAGCATTCTTAAGCACCATTTATTAACACAACACTTTCGAATATTCGACCAGTGGTCTCAGGTTACGAGGCAGTCACTTTCAACTGCATTTAAAATATATTTCTAAAATTTTCATTTTCGTACTACAACATAAGATCATTCTGCTGCCTCTGCAACGTCTCACGTATATATGCGACAAAAGACGGAGAAGTCGATAGGATCAAATTCATTATTAAACAACTAGCAAAATTCAAAAGTGTAAAGCGTTCACCTGATGATGTGCCGAGTGCCTCCAAACTTATGAACCCTTTCTTTTCGCCGGCGTCTCGCCCTGACGTAAGGTCATGAAGCCGTTGTAAGGTCTCCTGTGCGGCACTACTCATTCTGAAGTTCAACCTAAAAATGAAATAATTAGATTCGCAAAACTCTTGCCATTTCGAAAAAAACACGAATTTGAAATTGGTCGCAAGTCATACTGCGGACGTAACAAAAGTCGATCAAAATGCCGAAACAGTTAA